TTTGCTTCTAAAAGAAGCCAGACTATATGATAAATATATACCATTAAATTTTAGAATCAAACTCAATCCAGTGAGATGCTTATACATTGTAGAAGAATTTGGAATCAAAACCATGTGTGGGAACAGCAGACTTTCATCACTCTTTGCCCACTCACTCTGGAGCCATATGCTTATTGAGTAAAAGGGTGGGCCGACCCCCTCAGCAGTAGTTAAATTAGTTTCCATTCTCAACCTCAGCCTTTCTCTCATGTACACATACACTCGCTGACCACTGTAGCATATATAGGGGGTTTCCTATAAGATAAATAATGTATAATGGGACTACCATATGTCCACCTGTCATCTCATTACTAAATGACCAACTGCTACATTTTTTTAGTCATAAGCTTTTATGTATATTGCCACCTCCCCATTATCTGTTATGATGTTCTGTTATCAACATGGTTACATCTATTAATATTTGCTCACAGTACTCTGTCCCTGTGAAGTTACTGAAATCTCACAGCGTAACCAAGAGACAAGACATATTGTTTACTAGCCTTTTAATAATACTTAATTTCTAGTGTTTAGGCTCTGATTTGTCACTAATCAGAGGCATTTTTTGCTAGCTTTTTTGGGTTTGTGCCTGATTTTTTTAATAAGTAAGACGAGTTATATTCATTGACATGCTAGTAAATATTTAATAATATGCATTCTGGTCAGAAAATTTAAAAGCTCTGATCTGACATGATATCAGACATAATAGGCATAAATAATCTCAATAACATAAATGACAGTTTAATTAGGAATCGATGAGGTTTTTTAGTAGTTATTACCTTTAACAGTTTATTTAATTTTAAATTTATATAACTTGTTATTAATGGTTGTGTTTTACAGCTAATTCACAAAATTTCTGAAGTATGACAAAAATATCTTTACTCTCATTTTCTTTTCTGCTCTATCCTTGTAAAATATATGTATCATTTATAAGTATGTTTTAAACTGATAAAATCTTAGGTTTCTTAGCTCTTAAAAATTCATAATTGTGTTTTAAAGATCTATCCACATTGCTCTAGATACAGCAAATTTTATTTTTTAGTCTAACGTACTATTTCTTAGTATGTATCCATTGTATTCCATTTTCCTTAGCATACACATCTATTTTGGCCTCAATTCCCCACAATATAGCAATGAACTTTCTTATACTTCCTTGTGCTCTTAGGAAACTGGATAAAACTTCCCTGGCATGCACTGGTATTGGGAGAATCATCAGCAGGGGTTGGTTTGTTTGTTTTTAACATATGCCCACATTTCTGTTGGCAATAAACAGCTACAACTAAAGATGTTGCTTCTCTGCTTTTACTCAACTCTTGCTCATTCCTCAGTTGCCAGCTAGTCCTATTGGTACCTGAATGTGACCTAGTCTAGGAGATTAATTCTCAAACAGTCTAGTTCTGGAATTATACAACTATAATAAAATGATTGCATGCCTAGAAAAATTACATGGAATCTTTGAATTCCTCTGTAAGAACAGGAATCAGTGGTATGTAATTCACATTATAGTCAAGGTGAGAAGAGAAAAATTCAGTGATCTGTTTCTCTTTTCCTTTGTTCAAGTAGACATTTTTATATAATTTGATTCAACTGAGAAATAATTACTGAATGACTATTATTAGGAAGCTATGAACTGGGTATGAAAAGAGCACCATACATACAGTAACTGCCCTCCAAAAGGCATACAGTCTAACTGAAAAGACACATACCAACAGGGTAGACTCATAGATGCACCTTGAAAAAAAGTTTCTCTTCAGCACTTTCCAGCTCAAATCTCAACAGACATATGTGCATACGCACACCCACACTCCTCTATCTTTCTGTATGACCAAAGCCTCTGGTCAGGTCCTGACCACTTCTTGCTTTGATTACTGCATTAGTCTCCCAACTCATGTCTCTGCTCCCTTCTGATAAAGCCTCCACACTGCAAAACACATATCTTATCAGATCACACCTCTGCTGAAAACACTTCTATTCACTCCCTGATTTTAGAAGAGAATTGGATAATCTCACTTTACAAGACCTTAATGAATTGCCATCGGACCTGGCCTAGTAATTCTTTATCATTCCCTAGCCAGACAATTAGGACAAATTCTCTGAATTTTTCTGAGAAGTCTCAGTGCCTCTTGCCTCTGCACCTTTGGACATGCTCTTCGGTCTCTTTGGAATACTCTATCTCTAGCTGGCACTGAAAAGTCACCTTTCTAGAAAGAACTCCAGCTGTCTTTTAAGATCAATTGATGTTAGCTTTATTGGTTCATCTATTGACCTCCCCAAGCTAAATTAAGCACTTCTCCCAACGTGTCTTACTAAAATCATTATAATCCCCTAAAAACTCTGCTATAATTTATTTACATGTCTGTTTTCTCCACAAGGCTGTGAGTGCTTAGAGGTTATTATTTTTGTTATTGTAAGCATAGTAACTGGCATAGAGATTGGCACAGAGTAGCAGCATTTTCTCTCTTGAGTGAATAAATGAACAAATGTTTTTATTGAGTTGATTAGCATTAAACTAATGATTAACTTGAAACCACAACATGTATATATAAAACGTTTCATTTGTGAGGTTGGGTCCATTGTAATTCCTGTTTACTCAGTAGACTTTTAAAGAGTTCATAGTTTCTGGCTCTTCCAACACTGATTCTTCAGACTAGAAATGCAATTTCTGTTCATGGATTCATTTACCAAATCTGACATCAGGAAAATTATTTGTATTCCTCACGACATACGCATAGGGATTTACAAGTGTATAAAAATGCCGCTATTAACCCTCAGTAGATAATGGTAAAGTTTTTCATAGTGCTACTATACTAGTGAGGTATTACTTATTCTTATAGACCACAAATTTCAGTGGCTCAACATAATGGGAGTATTTTTCTTGCTCATTTGACAGTCTAACACAAGTATTCCTGGCCGAACAGCTTTGCTACATGTGATATTCCCAAAACCTAGGTACTGAATGGGTGGTTCAGTGGTAGAATTCTTGCCTGCCAAAACCTAGGTACTGTCTACTTAGGGCTATGCTATTCTTTAGCAGCTTTTTTCAATTAGGGTTTATTAAGAGATCTGTTACCTATTAAAAATGATCTAAAGGCCTATTTCCTAATTTTTTTCAAGGAGAGTACATACTTAGTCCATCATAGATGCTTAGATAGCATGTAAGACATAATGGATGCCTTGGGCTCTTGTCATGGACAGTCAGTATCAGCAGCACCTGGATATTTGTTTAAAATGCAAATCCTTGAGGCCACCAGGTGACGTGGAGATTAAGGCAGCTAGATCCCACATGGCCAGCTGTGTGTTCAAGTTTTGAACCTGGCAGCTCGAAAATCATACTGGATGCATGTATGTACATTCCCAAAATCCCAAGAGGAAAATGGAGGAGAAGGATGATCCCCCACTAAGGGGGTGATTTCTCTTTCTCTCTGTCTCTTTCACAAGTGCACATGCCCTATAGAAAAAATGAAAACAAACAAACAAAAGTGCAAATTCTGACTTGACCCAAGACTTACTGAATCCAAAACTGTGGAGATCAGTATTAAAATAATAAGAAGATCAGTGGTTTAACAAGGCATCTGGAAGATTCTGTTGATCTTAAAGTATGAAAATAACTTCTCTAAGGCATTAGGACTTCATTCTTCCCCCAAGTCTTTTTTTTTTAGAGAGAGAGAGATTTGCCACAGGGCACATGTGCTTGCCAGAGAGACAGAGAGAAACATAAAGTGAGAAATCACCCCCTGGGGGATGGTCACACTGCAATCCTTTCTCCTCTAGTCTCTTCTTGAGATTTTGGTCACACACACACGTGTGCACACACATGCCCAGCATGAGTTTCAAGTCCCCATGGTTGACTATGTGGAAGTCTAGCTCCTTAACCACTATGCCACTTGCTGGTACCTCTTCCCCTGATTCTTGAGGTCTCCTGTAAGAGCTTAGAGTCCTCTGCTTTCAGTCAATGCA